CACCTCTATCTAATGCACGGTAAAACCTATCGGTTATTACTGTTAGCACATCAGCTGTAGAACGAGAAGACCGAAATCCATATTGATGATCAGAAAGTAAGTTATTTGATTCAAGATGAGAGATTAAGTGTTTGTTGATTAAAGATTCAAAAACCTTGCTTATGACAGGAAGAAGACTAATGGGACGGTAGTTAGATGAATCAGATCGCTCTCCGGAATTTTTGAAAATAGGGATAACAGATGCTGCTTTCCAGCATGATGGAAAACAAGACTCTGATAAGCACTTGTTAAATAGTTTAGAAAGTATGGATGAAAGCTCCGAAGAACACCTCTGCAAGACTACAACAGGAATGTTGTCAGGACCACAAGCTGTTGAAGAGTCTAAGCAGGAAATTACTTTAGATACAGAAGCTGAAGTAATGCGAATGTCAAGCAAGGGATCAACCTGTTTGACGGCTATGTCAGGTAAAACGCAACTAGTGGAATCAAGAGATGATATTGATGAAAAGTTCTTAGCAAACAATTCAGCTTTGTCTTTAGGTGAGGTGACAAAGTCTGAACCATACAAGAGAGAAGGAATAACAGATTTGCCCTTATTATTGATACTGTTAAAGATTCTCCAGAAGTCTCGAGAGCCTGATTTTTGTGATGAGATACGAGATTTAATGACCTGGGAATAGCGAGCTTTGGCGTCAGACAAAACCTTTTTACAATGGTTTCTGGCGATAGTGAACAGATGTCTGTTTTCTGGAGAATTGTTTTGCTGATAGATATGGAAGTAACGGTTTCGATTAGAAATTGCTGCAGCGCAATGTGAGGAAAACCAAGGAGAAGAGTGAGGCTTGACCTGGAATCGTCGAGAGGGAATAAAAGATTCCATGCCAGCCTGAATCCACGAAGTTATGTAAGAAGCACATTTGTCAGCAGGAAGACGAAAGATTTCTACCCAAGGGCCATCACGAAGAAAATCACGGAAAGAGTCCCAGTCAGCTTTAAGGTAGTTGTATGTGGTACGATGATAGGGGGATTCTGATGAAGTAGAAGAATTTGGTAATAGTTTTAGAGAGATCAAACCGTGATCAGAAGTACCTAAGGGTGAATGTGGAGAAATTGAGCACTGACTAGGATCCAAAACAAGACATAAGTCGAGTAGAGAAGGTAAATGATTAGGGTTGTCTGGAAAACGAGTTGGAAAGTTGACTATTTGAGTTAGAGATTGAGAAAGGCAAAAGTTGAGGGCCTTAACGCCAGCAGAGTCACTGACACTAGAGCCAAGCCAATCGGTGTGATGGGCATTAAAGTCACCAACAACGACGATATTGGCCGATGGATAGAGAGAGAGGGCTTGGTCAATTTGATCAGAAATAACATCAAGAATAGTGCAATCTTGGGATGAAGGAGAGCGATATAGAACAAAGAGAAAGGCGATAGAGTGAAGTTGTGCTAAACGAAAGCACATAAATGAATAGTCTGTAGATTCAAACCTAGTTTCACGACAAATGGGTGAGTTCTTACGAATGTAGATGCCCAGGCCAAGCATGTGATTATTGGAGTCTTTACGAATTAAAGGAAGATAACCATCAACACTAAGATCACAAGATGGGACAGCCGAACTCAAATTAGTCTCACAAAGAGCAAGTAGGTCTGGTGAACTTTGCAAGAGATAAGACTCAACAGAAGAAAAGTTACTTCGAAGACCACGAATATTAGTAAATGATAGGTTTAGAGAACTTGGTGATGACGATGGTTTTTTGTGTTTTTTAGTTTTAGGTACTTTAGTCATTTTAAATTTATAAAGAACTTGACTCAAGTATAGATAGTACTCAGTACACTATTTAACAACTAAGCAATAGCCTCATTACTATTAATAAACCCTAAGCTGTAACAAAGGGCTCCAAATGTGGCCTCTGCAATGCACACCAAAAGTACAAACAGGGACACCATCCATGCGCAACATGGCACTGTTAGTACTCTGATATTTTTCGGCTGTTGATGGAATCAGCCTCTCTGAGAGCTACCACAGAGTTCGGGAAACCTGACTACCAGCCGGCCTCAGAACCATAAAACTGAGTTTTAGAGCTGTACCCTCATTAGGAGATAATAGAATGAGTTGCCCAGTCATAAAAATAGAGACACAAGCAATACCCACGCATTGAGTCAAGAAGATCCAGCGTTCAACATCCTAAACTGGAAACAATGTATTAAAAATACATCTGCGCCAGCCTAATAGATGAGGAAGGGGTGCGAGGCTGGTCAACAGATAGAATCTGTTTACCCCTTAAGTCTTTGCCTAGGAGGCCTTCTACAAGACAGCAGCTGGATGCATGTAACATCTGCCCAAGATGAGTATTTTTATCGAGACACCATCTCTAGCCTTTACTCAACCAAGAGCCCCAAGGCAGGGGGTGTTTTAATTCGGAGTTAACTTCTCCTAGCCTTTGCCTAAAAAAGCGTATCCTACAAGGCAGCAGGACATGGAGCAGGTTGTACTGGGTTACATGTTACCAGTAGCAGGAAAACCTGACCTGACCTTATGCCTATCAGAGTCTATCAGAGTCTTATTTTCAAGTGCCTATCAGAGTCTTATTTTCCAGCCTGCTGGAAAGCAGCATCTGTTATCCCTATTTTAAAAAACTCTGGAGAGAGATCTGACTCATCTAACAATTGTCCCATTAGTCTTCCTCCAATCATGAGTAACGTTTTTGAGTCTTTAATTAACATCTTATCTTCAATCTATTAACTTACTTTCTGATCATCAATATGGATTTCGATCTTCAAAATCTATATTGAGATTGAAAAAAATCTCACTTCTGCTACAGCATGGGGTTCACAGTGGCTGGTGTACTAAAACTCATAAAAAACTACACTTTTTGATCTAATCGTTATCCCAATAATCTAAATCTTTCTATATTTATGAACAGTAATGTACTTGATGAGTCATCTACCTTTCATCTTCTAGGATTAACTTTTACTTACAATCTTTCTTGGAAACCATATATCAAATCGATTTCAAAATTAGCATCTGCAAAGGTTGCCCCTCTTTATCATGCTTGCCATTTTCTTACTCAGGATTATATTCTTTATCTTTATAAATTTCAAATTTGTCCTTGTATGAAATACTGTTAACATATCTAGGGCAGATCTTCCAATGATACATTTCTTTCTTAGACAAGGTGCAAAAATGCAATTTAAAATAGTTAAACCTGCTTTTGCATCCAACCTCCAACCATTATCACATCACTCTAATGTTGCTTCTTTTCTCTTTTCTACAAATACTATGATGGGCACTGCTCTAAAGAGCTAACGTCTCTTGTGCCATCTATTAAATTTCATTCTCGTGTTACCTGTCATTTTATCATGTCTCATTTTTTTACTGTGACTGTTCCTAAGTGCTCTAAAAATTCTTATTCGTCCAGTTATTTTCCTTGAATATCAGTTCTTTGGAATTTGCTTTCTTTATTGTGTTATTCTGATTCATATAATTTGCAATACTTTAAGTCTTCTGTCAATGTCAAATTCTGTCATTATCTTGAGAACTTATTTTTGAAGTTATATGAGTTAAAGTTTAAAGTTCGAATATTAGGCACATAAACAATACAGTCAACAGAATGATTACCCATTACATTTAGATGCTTAAATCATATTTGGGTTTTATGATCCTTATCTTTAGCTTTTAGGCAGCTTTATTTAAAGTTGATTTTGTATTAAATGAAGTTATTCTGTTAATTGAAAGAGGTTTAACATTTTGAACCATAATGAAATACTTCAACGATTTAACTTTGATTACCTATCAGCAAAAATAGTCCACAATTAAAAACTTTAGACTGGATAAAAAAAGAATTGTTTTACTTATAAGTAATGATATCATTTTCAATAGATAATTGTTTTTTATTATCTTCAAATTTTAAATTACCAATAATTTTTTACTCTTTTGATTCATCCTTTTTGATACCTCTTTTTAAAGAAGAAAATAAAGTCTTTCTCATTTTTGGTGGTAGAAAAGATAAACAATTTTTATAAATATTTGGAAACACTAATAGAGGATTTAATTTGTCTTAATTTACCATGATATAAAGTAAACTCAGTATCATCTGGCCAATGAAATTTTCAAACGCTATATTTTTTTTAAGTCCAGTGTGAGCAAGGGATACTCATAAACCACTTTTTTTTCAGAAACTTCACAAGGAAATTTGTATACAGATATTTTACGATCTGAAGACTTATAATTTGAGCAACAGTTTGGTACATAGCATTTAAAAGGCATTGTATATTTAATTTAAATTTCTTTGAAAATAGCAACTAATACTTTACAACTTTTAACAGTTTATTTAAAAACAATCTTCAATAAAGAAAATTCCTGCACAGTGTCAAGACATTCAAGGTGCTGGACACTGTGGTCAAGGTCTTGATATATATATAAACTATGTTAGTGTATTCTACAAATAGAGTGCTCAATGTTCATAAAGAACAGAGCAATAATAAATTAGTAAAAACACTTAACTAAATTTTTCTTTAAAAAATTATTTCTCCAGGAAAATAAGGAAGTTCATCAGTAGGTTCATCAGGAAGCATTCTGATGAACCTACTGATGGAGAAACAGGTTGTTGAAAAAAAAGTGTTTTTACTAATTCATATATATATATATATATATATATATATATATATATATATATATATATATATATATATATATATATATATATATATATATATATATATATATATATATATATATATATATATATATATATATATATATATATATATATATATATATATATATATATATATATATATATATATATATATATATATAGTTATTATTATTATAAATATATAAGTTATTATTAATAACATTTATTATTAATATCTTTAATTATTTTTCATCACTGTTTTTTTAAAACTAATAAAATTAAATTACTTTAGGCTGCTTAAATGCACATTGGGTTTTTAAATTTAGTCAAAAAACAAATTTAGTAAAAATACAATAAAAATTTCACCTTTTCTTTAACTGCATCCACCCATCCTTGTCCCCAGGAATTCCACCAAGAACCATCACTTGATTTTTTTTTCTCACTAAATTCAAATCTGCATTATTTAAATACTAGAAATATTTGATTACTAATAAAATTTCTTATTTAACATTTATAGTATTTCAATGATATATGACAGATATAAAAAAAACTTAAATTACAACTGTATACAAAATTTTACAATTTTTTTAAACCTGAAGTCGTTTGCTTCTGCCTCCTCTGCCATAATATTGAACTTTACATTGCAAATGTGTTTATGTTGACAATGTATACTATATCATAGCTGGAAATAATTTCAGAAAATTTTAACCTAAGGTTAAATTTTACACTAAATTTTATGAATTTTTAATTTAACAAAATAAAACACGTAAAATTAAATTCAAAACATATTTTAATTTTTATATAAAACTTAAAACTTTTTTTCTATCTCGCATTTAATTAATTTAATTTTTATTACACAATTCACAATATTTTTTTTAAATTATTATATTTGCACACACAAAAGTTACTAACTTCACAAACTAATATAATATTCGATTAATTTTACAAAATACGACACGATCAAGAAGTAAATGTTTTCAATTTTTTCTTTAAGATAATATATATCGGCTAGAGATTATTAAAAATTGAAATGGTGTACCGGTATATATATTTATTTCCGGGAAGATGTAATAAACATATCACCATAATTTTGAAACAGATTAAGTAAATGTTCGATTTTTTTATTTTTTTAAATGATCCTTAAAGCAACTGAATAGCCTAAGTTCGTTTATAGATTTCAGAGTTTTAATTGCGTCATTCTATTTATTTTTAATACAATGGTACTTTAAAACTTTTGCTAACGCAAAATGAAGTTTTAAAAAATAAGGGTAAAAATGTGTTACAAATAAGCATAGTTTTGCTTTGACTGGTCTGTTTCAATGAATATGATTTGGCTACGGTAGAAGAGATAATAATCAAATGAAAAAAATTTTCGCTTTTAAAAAAGTAAACTTTGACATGTAATTTCAGAAAAAATAAGTTTATAATTAAAAGGTTTATGATATTTATGAAAGCAAATTTAATCGAGAATTCAATAAGCCGAAAAAAATTACAATAGTTAACTCTCATTGCTAAAAACTTGATGACGCAATCAAACTATGTATTTTTTCAAGTAAGGGGTCGTCCATAAATTACGTCACGCTATAAAGGGGGGGGGGTTAGTGACGACTCATTCAAAACTCGCTTCTCAAGTGTTACGATTTTGTGACGAGGGGGGGGGGGGGGCTGAAAATGATCAAAAGTTGCGTGACGTAATTTATGGACAACCCCTAATCCGAACAAAACTTCAAGTAATAAACAAGTAATTTTTTTGACGATTTTAAAATCGAGTTGGGCCACTTTTATGAAATCTGCAATTCGATTATGTATTGGTTCAACAAATTTCAATTATGGAAACTCCTTCCTTGAGTGTTAACAATTTTATAAGGTGTTCTATTTTAAAAAATTTAATTAGGGGAGAGTGGGGCACCATGATAAACTTTTTACTTTATAACATTTTTTTAAATTATTTTTGGTTTAAGTTTTAGACAAAATTTAAACCTAATGATTTCTATTAAATAATTTATACCTAATATAATAATTACCAAAATATAGCAGGTTAAACTTCTTAGACTATTTAACGTAAAATTATTCCATCAACAATTAATTAAAAATAATCCATGCAGTATATTAATACAAGCTATAAGCACCATTAAAAAAGTAAATAAAAAGTTTAAAATTTTAAGAAATAGCGAATTTTTACTTGAAAAACAAACGAATTAATAATTACAACTCAAATAATGCATCCAATGGTCACATTTCAGAAATTTAGATAATATAACGTTTTAAATGTCATTCTTCAGCGTCAATAAAAAATGGCGCACTTATGTCAGTTCCCATATATGCCAACTCGCACTAATAACAGTTTTTACAACTGCTTCCCACTTAGGGGTCGTCCATAAATTACGTCACGCTATAAGGAGGAGGGGAGGGGTTGGTAGTTTTGTGAAGACTCATACAAGCGGCACTCCTTTGCGGCAGCAGGCTGTAAGATAGTTGGTGTATGTACTAAAGCCCCCGATAGCAGGCTATTTCAGTATGACATCAGACATGTTGTCTCTCTTAGTCATTCTCAAAATTCACCGTGAACGGACGCGTTTTAACTGCTAGGAAGTTTAAAATGGCTAAAAATTTTACAACAGCTCAGTTGAAAGAAATTTTAGAAATGTACGACAGTACAATTATTAAAATTTTTAACGAAAAAATAGAAAATTTGGAGAACAAAGTGAACTCAATAAATGATGAAAACAAGACTCTTAAACTGGAAATTAGTAAATTAAAAAAAAGTGTAGATTTTATAAGCGATAAATTTGATAAAGTTTTAGTTGAACTTGCCGAATCAAAACCTGAAAACTTGCTTCTTAAGTGTTATGATTTTGTGACGAGGGGGAGGGGGAGGTCAAAATCTGTCAAAAAATGCGTGACGTAATTTATGGACGATCCCTTATGTCAGTTTGCAATTTCGAAACTTTGCAGTTTTGAAATTCTTTTGGCGCGCTTATGCCAATTTCCACTTATGCGCCAGCTCGCCAATTTTTTTTATTTTTTTTTTATTTTTTTTTTTTTAATTTATTTTTTTTTTTTTTCAATTTTTTGCCGTAGAAAGTTACAATTTATAAAATAACATAAATAATAAAACAAATGGCTGGAGCAAGAAGAAGACATCAGTTTGTCTTATCACCGAGCCCCATAGTGACTTCATTACAGGTCGTTTTTTACAACAAAATATATAAAATCGTGATAAATTGTTTGTGATAAAATATGTAAAAATGTGAAAAACTACGTTTTACAATTGATATAACTGTTTATATATAAATTCGTTTAGTAAAATAAATTTAGAACAAGTAAAAGTTAAAACAAATAAAAGAAATAAATTGTACTAGTTTATTTTATACTAAAAAAGAAAAAGAAAATTTAAGTCCGTAGATAATAAAAAACGCTTTGATTCAGATTTGAACTGTTCAAGTGTATTTCTTTTGATAGAAACAATCTGGGGAAAAATTTTCCACAAATTTGTCCGCGGTGTTGGATTGAGTATGAATTTAACTTTAATGTAAATTTTGGGATGACAAAGTTGTTATATGAGAATCTAGTAGGGTATTTATGACTTATTTCGCTAAAATAGGGTTGAAATATCGGCGGAGATAGTCCATTTTTTATTTTGTACATAAACTGTAAAACAAGATGTATGTTAATTTTGTATATATTCAATGCTCCAAGTTTGCATAAGAGAGGTTCACCAGACGCTTTTTAATTACTCCGAAGACAATTCTACAGGCATGTTTTTGTTTACTGTAGAGTTATACTAATGTTTGCAAATTCTTTTAACGCACTTATGCCAGTTCGCACTTTTGCCAGTTTTTGCAACCGATTTTCATTTTAATGACATTTCGCACTTAAGCCAATTCGCACTTATGTTATTGTTTGCAAACTTTTTTAGTGCACTTATACCAGTAGCATTTTTTGCCAGTTATGCAATTTTTGAAACTGTTTCGCACTTATGTCAGTTGCTCATTTACTAAATTCGCACTTATGCTAATGCTTGCAAGTTCTTTTAGCGCAAGTATGTCAATTCGCACTTACGTCAGTTTTTGCAACTGCTTCGCACTTATGCCAATTCGCACTTATTCAGCTGTAACTTTTTAATACCTTAGTTGCTGTTGTTTGTTTGTTATTATACTTTTATTATACTTACTATTTACTTGTTATATTAATACCTTAGCTATTGTTAGTTAGGGTGACATGAATAGTGTCGAAAAATGAACTTCAGAATAGTGTCAAATATATTTAAAAAGCCTAATTTCGCTGAAAAAATGGAATAGTGCCGCAAATGAATTTAATGAATAATTTCGAAAACAAAAAAAAAAAATAGTGTCGCAAAGAGTAAAAACGGAATAGTGTCGCAACTAGTTAATTTCACCAATTGCTTACTCGTTTTGCTAATCTTTCTAGGATACGGCTTTTACAGAAAAAAACAAAGAATAATGAAAGAAAATATTGTTTATCCAAACCCTCCAAACCCTCAGTCGATGTACACAAAACTCCAAGCAACTTAGAAAATATTGTAACAGAAACCATGAAAGATAAATTGGTAAAGCTCGAAGATAGAAATAGGCGTAATAATTTGAGAATAAACGGAATTGAAGAATCTGAAAACGAAGGTTAGGAAGATTGCGAAAAGAAACTTAAATATATTATAAAAACAAAACTTGATTTAGATGGTAATTTTGTTATTGAACGAGCTCATCGAGTGGAAAAAATTGATGAAGGTGAAAGTAAAAAAAAACAGAACCGTCGTTGTGAAGTTTTTAAATTTTAAAGACAAATCGAATATTCTTGATAAATATATCAAATTGAAACTCTGGAATCAACGCATTTTTATAAACGAATATTTTTGCGAAAGATCAAGCATGCTACGGAAAAAGTTGTTTACATACGCTAAAGAATAAGACAAAAAAGTAAGTATGCTAAAGTTATTTATAACAAACTAATAACGCGTGATTTATAAAAGAATTTTTTTTATTTAAGTAGGTCTAATAGTAAAATCAAATAAAAATGGATTCGAATGACAAAAACAATTTTGATCTAAACTCATTTAATTTTTTTCAAACTGATGACTTTTTACTAAACCATGAATCGGATCCGGATTTAAATTACTTTATGGAAGCAATTGCTGTTCGAAGCAGCTGCCCATACTATTATTCCAATGAAATAAAAGAATTTCTTAATTCTAATAATATTAACACTTTGCATATTAACATAAGAAGTTTATCAAAAAATTTTGAAAATTTTTGCATAAATATGAAAGAATCTTTTAGTACTTCTAGTTTAATTTGTAAGTTAGAAACTTGGTGCAGCACAGATAATGCAAACTCTAATACAACCTTTAAAACTTTAAAACACCTGTTTACCAGGTTTTAAAAAAATTTCTTTAAAGCGTCAAAATAAAAAGCGAGGCGGTGGTTTAGTAATTTATATAAAAGAATGCTTGAGGTATATTATCACGCCCGATATCAGTAATTCTGACGACAATAAAGAGGTTTTAACAGTTGAAATTGAAACCTTAAAAAAAAAAATTAGTTGTAAGTTGCTGCTATCGTCCACCCTCTGAAAACTTCAATATAATTTAAAATGATATTTTAAGTAAAAGCATTCATGAAAAGAAATTATACTACTTAACAGGTGATAATAGTTTGGACTGTTTTCAATACCATACTAATTATAAAATAATTTTTTTTTTGACGATGACATGGCGCTTTTTCTATA